CACCAATCAGGACTCTGTGACCCCCATCCATGAGATGATTCATGAACTGGAGAGCCAGGGAATGGTCAGCAAAACTCACTCACCCTTTATTAGTGCATTAGTCCAATGGAGAGTGGAGACTGAGTGTAAACTATCGTGGTCTGAACGAAGTCACACCACCGTGTGTGCTGCTGTGCTGGACGTGCTGGAACTTCAGTAGGAACCGGAGTCCAAGGCAGCAAAGTGGTGCCACCATCGACATTGCTAATGTAATCTTCTCCATTCCTTTAGCAGCACAGGGCAGGCCACAGTTTGTCTTTACCTGGAGGGGAATCCAGCACACCTGGAATTGACTGCCCCAGGGGTGTAAACACAGCCCCTGTATTTGCTGTGGATTGATCCAGACTGCACTGGAAAAGGCTCCAGAGCACTTACAGTACATTGATGACATCATCGTGTGGGGCAACACAGCAGAGCAAGTTTTTGAGACAGGGGAGAAGATAATCCAAATCCTCCTGAAGGCTGGTTTTGCCATAAAGCAAAGTAAGATCAAGGGACCTGCCCAGGAAATTCAGTTTTTAGGAGTAAAATGACAAGATGGTTGTCAGATTCCAATGGATGTGGTCAACAAAATAGCAACTACATCCCCACCAACCAGCAAGAAGGAAACACAGGCTTTTCTAGGTGCTGTGAGTTTTTGGAGGATTCATATTCCAGATTACAGTCAGGTTGTAAGCCTCCTTTATCATATTACATAAAGAACAATTTTAAGTGGGGTCTTGAACAACAACCACCTTTTGAGCATTAAAAAGAAGCTTATTCATGCAGTAGCCCTTGGGCCAGTCAGGACAGGAATATGAACTGTGAAGAATGTTCTCTACACTGCAGCCAGGGAGAGTGGTCCTTCCTGGAGACTGGCAAAAAATACCCAGGGAGACTCAAGGATGAACTCTGGGGTTCTGGAGTTGGGGATACAAAGGATCTGAGGCCTGTTACACCCCAACTGAAAAACAGATCCTGGCAGTTTATGAAGGGGTTCAAGATGCTTCAGAAGTGACTGGCAGTGAAGAACAGCTCTCCTGGCACTCTGACTGCCAGTGATGGGCTGGATGTTCAAAGGGAAAGTCCTTTCCACACATCATCCCACTGATGCTATGTGGAGTAAGTGGGTAGTGCTGATCACACAGTGAGCTTGAACAGGAAACCCTGGTCTCCCAGGGATCTTGGAAGTCGTCATGAACTGGCCCGAAGGCAAAAATTTCAGACTACTATCATCAGAGAAGATGACACATGCTGAAGAAGCCCCACAGTATAATCAGCTACCAGCAAATGAAAAGCAATGTGCTCTCTTTACTGACGGTTCCTGCTGTATTGTAGGGATATATGGAAAATGGAAAGCTACCATATGGAGTCCTATGTGGTGAGCTGCAGAAGCTATTGAGGGACAAGCTGGCTCAAAGGTTGCAGGGGGATTTGATTTTTGGGTGAGAACAGTCTGTAATGTTGCTGAATGACACAACCACTGTATGCCGTAACTACCACAGACAATGATTATGGACTGCTCCAGATACACCAGTTGTGAGCTCCTGATGCAGTTTGCAACCAGCCAACAGTAGACCAGCTCTTCTGCCCTGTAAGACATCTAGGACAGATAGAACCCACAGACATGAACTAAGTGAACTCAGCAGACATCTTGGAGGGGTGGCCATTGATTATGGAAATGATACTCATGCTTGTGTATATATGCATCTATATATATATATGTATGCATTTGTAAGGTGTAGGATTTGGGCATGACACAGATGCTATAGAATAAGCGGTGGATAATGTCCTGGTTCTGGCCAGGACAGGGTTAATTTCTGCAGAAAAATGAGGCATGGTTAGGACCCAGAGGTTATTTGATACCATTCGATACTTCATGTCATTTTCTGGGAACAGGGGAAAGGGCTGCTTCTGGGTCAATCATAGTATAGCAGAGAGAACAGTCGGGTATTGTCAGAGGGGTTTCCATGTGAATTGTTCACCTCTTTCTTATACCCTCTGTCACTAATATTGTTGCTGCTATTGTTTGTTTTCTTATCTCATTGCTGTTTCCAGTAAACTGTTCTTATCTCAACGTGTGATCTTTACCTCTTATGCCTCCAATTCTCCTCTCCAGCCCACCACAGGGGAGGGGAAGAGGAAGGAGAAGTGATGGTGCAGTGTGTGGTTTGGAATGGTTTCAGTGGGAACACTAAATTGGAGAATACCATTCCTAAACCACAACAACAGTGAAATATTTAGTTATCCAAAATATAAAACTAGGGTTAAATATGAAGGCTTTATTGGCAATTGATGTGAATCCAGAAAGTTCTATAAAATAAACAAAATAGATGTTTGGACTTTTAAGAGGTTGAAAAATGTCAGGAAGTGATCCATATTTTTCTCCTCTTAGGCTTGATAAGTGACAAATATCATAGCCTGATAATGCTATGATATTTTGGGACCATAATGTAAAGCTGCTTCAAATGCTTCTGAACAAGAAGATGGGTCAACAAAGTTGAAATGCGACATTTTCATACTCCATTTGAAAAACTCTAGGATCTAGTAATAAGACATTGGGTTTTTTGCTCAGAAATTCACTATTTAAACCTAAAATGGAATATTAGCTCCACACAGACTGAGAGTATGGTGAGCTGGAGGAATCCGGAGGTATCATAACATACACATTGCCATAACTCATCTTGCCCATCAGTCTTTCAAAGGTGAAAAACTCACTGAGCAGAAGCCTGACAGGATGTTGATGTTAAGACAGGGTAAGACTACTCTCAGTGCTTCTGGCATTATCACACCTCATTGTCTGGATCAATGTTGTCCTGAGTGCTGCCTCAGAATGACCACAGAGGAAAATATAATTTTTACATGTTGGTAGATTCTGATGGTCTTTTAAGATACTTCAGCATATTCCATCTGACCTTCAGGGAAGAGGGCAATCATTTTTGTACAGTTTGTGCTCATTGCCACTCTTACAAATTCCAGTACAAATTTGGCCAAGTTGTCCATCATGCTCAGCAGAGCTTTCTTAGTGTCAGTTTCTCACTAATTTTGTGAAATGAAGAAAGGAAGTGAGAAGAAAATGTAGAGAGAAAAACTGCAAAAGTAGCAGCACAGAAAGGCAAAGAGGTGAGGAAAAGATGGTCTGAAGACCTGGGAGACCAGATTGGAAGAAGAGAAAGAACTAAGAGGACACACGAGAAAGGATAGAGAGAAAAAAGATTAAGTTTGTGGAAAAACAGCAGCCAAGTCCACGTCCAATGAAGAATGCTCTTCAGAATTCGGCTGGAACCATGCATGTTAGGTTAATAAGCCTATTCCTCTCTGTCAACTAACATCTGTGAAACCCACTGGCAAAATTAGTCTTTCCACTAGTGAAGATTAAGGCAGAGCTTACCATTACTACCAATTATTGTCCTATCTCAGTCTGCAGGAGGTGATGGTGGCTCTAGAGGTTGCAGTTTTGCTTATGTATCATGTGGTTGTTAATTCAGTGTTACAGAATTTCTATTTTGCCCTATGCTTTAAAAACAAAAATGGAAAGGATTACACGAGCAAATGTCACAAGAAAATAAAGTCAAAACTTCAAAAATTAGCATCCCCTTGTACTATACTTTTTCATTGGACAATCATACTCTTTTTTTCAGTGGACCCTTTTCAATAAATGTAGAAAGTTGATCTGTTTGAGTTTCTAGCAGTCCACACTGAATTTACTGCCTCAAAGTGCAGGACCTCAATGTACCTTCACTCAAGTGGTTGACTTAAGGACAATAGTTCAGAAATGCATAAGGTTTCAGCTTCAGCTGTTGCAATATGACATTCCATTTGGAAAATGTCAGTAAGTTTTGAGGTTTTGCTCTGATTTGGAATGAAAAAAGTCTTCCCGAGTTTGGACTAGAGAAGGGATAATGAGAAATTCTTCCAGTCCTTCCAGACACAAAGTCCTCATTTCTGTATTTCAGCTTTACTTCCAATCACACACTCGAACCACCACCACCAAGCATTACTCAGACCCTTCTAGACTGACAAAAGCACCAACATTCTCATCTGTGAAGGGGTGGTACAGGGCCAAAAAGGCACTAGTTTCAAGTTTCACAACAAACAAGCAGCAAAAGAAATTTGGATGAGAGCTGCTGAATGTGATTTTTTCTTGTGCAAGGCTGAAGCATCATTATCTCTACATTCCACTGCTTCCCTGCCTGTATGATGGCATCCCCACTTAGATTGGGAGTGGGGCACAGAATTGTTCTGAATGCAGGCCTGAGAATACAGGAGTGATTGCTGGGACCAAAAAGTCTGGTGCTTTTGTCACAAGGAAAATTCTATGACTAATGTAGAGAGGCTCCTTCTTCATAAAGTTTACTGTAAGGCGGTACTAGTTTAAGTAGGAAGAAAGGGAACAAAAGAAGACAGAGAAAAAACAAATCCAAGATGTGAGTACATTTTAAAGCTCAGAATCTTAGCATCATGAGGTCAATGTGCCCTTCAATATAATTGAGCTTACCATTGACAGTTCCCTCAACCTATTCTGGTGTCACAGAGATCTGGTTCACTCAATAGCTGCAAAGGACAAGTTCCTCTATTTAGCAGAGTACTTGCAATTACACTACTTAACAGAGACAGCATAACGTAAAAAACACAGAGGCAACTGAATTACATTCTGTGCTTAAGTACAGGTAAATCTCAATTTTTTTAAAATGTACACATCCACTACACTAGTCAGGTTCCTAAACATGGGAAGGTGGACTTGTCAGATATTTTGATGGGGCAAACTAAGCTTCTAGATAAAACAGCAGCTGCCACAATCACACTGTCTTGAAGAGTACCTATGATAAAAAAGAAAACTGCTTTTGCTGAGGGCTGAGCCTTTGATAAAATATGCTGAGGAAATTCAGTTTGTTACTGAATGGCATGTTCTCTAATTGCCCCGATTATCATAGTTCAAACGAAAAAAAATGGCATGCTGTAACTGGTCAATGGTCTCACAACAACAACAAAATGACAATACCTGGTGATGGGCTGTAGAAGCCTCATAGTTTCTACAGATCTTTCTTAGATGAAAAAAATGCATAGAATATTTTATAAAATTAAACATATTCAGCAGTTGTAAACCTGGAGATCATGATACAATTAAAGAATCAAACCTATAATATCTAAAATGTGGATTTTTTTTCTAGCCTCTTCTGTTCAATTATTTTTCATTAAAAGAACTCTCAGACATAAATTAAATATTTTGTATTTAAAAATGTGATGTATTTTTAGGATCTGGTCAGATATTTTGAGATGACATGGACATGCTGAGCAGAGAGCCTGCAAGGTTTTTTCTAAGTCATCTTGGGTGTGATGAATGCATGAGGATTCCCAGGCAGGACTCCAGCACCACTCCTATGTTCAGTCCTGGCATAGTTCAGTGCTCTGTACATCTTTCAAGAAATCCATTTGTTGCAGGGGCCCTGGAAGCTTGGGGATAGCTATTTTTTTTTTTTTTTTTAAATAGCATACACAGTGGACTAGTGGGACCAAAGCCCATCAGAGATTTGGGTCATCTGTAGCAACAACCTCACTCACAGGTCTGCCTTCACTAGAACTGGAAACCAGTGGTTTCCAGGCTAACCCCAAGCCCTGGGGTAACCTTTTCGGCAGGTAACTGCAGTGTTGCTTTACACCTGACTCAGGCTTTACAGTTTGTGCCCTCCAGAGTCAGCTTGGAGGCAGATGGTGTGGTGCTATTCCAGGCACTCTGTCCTAGAGCTGAGCATAAGAGTTCCGGGAGCCTCAGATGGAACAAGGATCAGGCTGCAAGCAGGACTGTCAGAGCATCCCCAGTTTCCCTGGGCTGAAACAAAAGCTCAGAGTCAGGCAGATCTGGAAACATGTTGTTTGACTCTGAGTCACACTGTGCTGCATGTCCATTCTAGGAAGCTGCTGGCTGCTCCTGACACTGATGTCTTGGTCATTTGCACTGCACAGTGCAAGGTTCAGAAGAAGGTGGCCCTCCAGGACAGGACATTGTGTTTCGTGGTATGTAGACACACACAGACATATGTGCAGATGTGAAATACAACACAAGCTTCTATTAATGAGATTCCTACAGAAAATTATTAAGTTTGATAGAAAGGTTGAGTTAAAAATCAAGTTTATAAAAAACCATAGCCTCATTTCAGATCGTGTTAGAGAATACCAAGTATGACTGAGACAATTTTTAAAAGAATACAGGAATTGCCATTGTAGAGCAGAGTACTCTGATGCATCAAACTAGCACAGAAAAGCAGGTTTGCTTCACCCTGAAAGAAAGAACTAGAGGAAGAGGGAGGAAGGACTTGGCCTGGAATGAGATTTCTGAAAATAAATAGGCAGACCTGCTATAAGTGCACTAGAATACAGAATATATACTAGCCATAAAAAAGTGTCTGATGTTGAATACTTACTAGGTCCATCAGGCAGGAAATGTGGCAAGGACTGGTATCCCTGGTTATTGCTTTTAATGTTTCTAGTTACAGATTTTTCCCATTCAGATGCTTTCATATATTAAATTATGTTAATATTTTTTATACTGATTTAATTAGTTTTACATTACTTACTTTTAATTTTGTTTCTCTTTGGTCTCAACTATTTCCACTAGCACAACTATACCACTTATTATACTTTGAAACTGCACCTCATTTCTAGTTATTGTTTATACTTTCAAGTAAAGGAGTCTCAGCATTTTAATACCTCTACACCATTCCTTCTGTAGTCCTATCACAATTCTGATATAATTTAGAATTAATTTCTGCATACATTTTTCCAATTGAGAAACAAATTTTCAGGTAACAACTTGCCAAATTATTCTTACAAAATTTATTTCATTTAGATTTACAGCTTTTTCATGGAAGCATTTTGATTATCATTAAATAGGGTTTTTCTGAACAAGAATTTTAAGTGTTACACATTCTTCTTCTCCTTCTCTCCTAGGTTATCACTGGAGAATGTCTTACAACATCAATGAAAGACAGTACAGGGTACAAAACACACCATTGCCATCCAGTACTACTTGTGCATGCTGAGAAACAAAGGTCAACACAATAAAGTGTTATTCATTCAACAACTGTCTCTATCATTAGTTACCTTAATCCCAGAACCAGTGTTAGTGCTTCATGCAGACCTGAGGTTAGTAAAAGACTAAAACTTTTAGAAGATGTAGTGGTCATTTCTCAATCAGTGTGAATTGTTTTTTTTAGTGTGAACAAGGTCAACAAGGAAAGTTTGCATACACTTTGGTTACAAGCTTAGTGCTCTAGTAAAAGTAAGAGGAACAAAGGGGTTTTTGGACACTTTGTCTTACCTTCAGATAAACAGAACTGATATTTAATGATCTAAAAAGAGGGGAAATAAAATAATGAAATAATCATAAGGAGTTCAAGAAATGTCAGAACAGGAAGGCCTTGAGTTATTAATTTTCTTTTACTGATTTTCTCATTAGTAACTGAAAATGCAGTATCCTCTTATAAAACAGGTATTGTACTGGAAAGTAAAAATTACCTTAAAACCAACTTTGCAACTAATAACCTGGGAACAAAAATTATGTTTGCAAGGCTCTGATTTCCAGTTTAAAACTTTACATTCTAAACAGGTAGCGAGCCTTAAAACTTTCTTATGAGGAAAGTGTATTTAAAGAATATTTCTGCCTGAACTAGCCTAGATGAAAGAGCACCAATGCTTCCAAGCAGACTTTTGACAGGGGAATGTGGTAAAATTTTCTGTACAAATACAGAGTCTGGTTGCTATATTAAAGCAGCTTGCAAAATCTTAATGCCAGGCATTGGCTCATGATGCCAGAAAACAGAATAAAGATTTAAAGGCAACTTCACCCAGGTTCTCAAGTATGTATCATCTCTCCAATTAATGGTAACCCTCAATGATGTGCAAAGGTCTGAGTTTTCAGTCTTTATAAGTAAGGATACTGCATTTCAAGCAAAATGTATAAAAACTGTTCTTAACTTCTTACCCGTCTCTGAGGGCAAATGGTGATAAGGTGCTGGACAGAAAACCTGAGCAGCAAAATCTTCAAAAGTTGTAGGCTCTAGATGATGTTGAACAATTGTTTGCAGGTATCGTGCTCTCTCCTCATAACTGGTTTAGCCAAGAATTAAGGATGAATTTCTGTCATGTACTGCAGTTGCTAAATATCAGTGCCCAGTAATTCAGAATTCTTGTTTTTGTTAAATACACATCATATATTTCAGTAAGTGTACACACTTTTAATTCTTTATATAACTGGGGTATTATCTAATGCATTGACATAATATTAAACGTAAAATAGACACGATTAATGTAAAACCATATGGCTCAATCGTATTTTTTTCATGTCTGATGCAAAACTGCCTGAAATTGTTTTCAAACAACAGCAACTTAAATACTCTCTTTCAAGTAACCAATTTGTCTATATTCTGGTCCCAATTAAATACAAGAATTTTTTCATTTTTAAGAGATGTAGCAAAAAACATAATCTTAGTATTAATGAAATAAATGATTTTGCACTTTCCCATAATGAACTGATTCCATAATCCCTAAAAACACATACACAGTTAAGATAAAAACACAGTGAAATTTCAGGGAGAAACACATTGTCAATTATGCCATTAAAACAAACAAGAATATCTGTAAAGAATCCACAGGACCCTTAAATACTGGTTAACAGGGTGTTGGCAGGGCACTGACAGGAAAAATACTGTACTTCTTCCTTTTCCCTGTGTTCTCCCCCTCTAATATTATTGACGAGAGACCAGTATCTTGAAGTGTTGTTTTTGAAGAACCCTCTCCAGGCTTCTTGTTCCAGCAGGCCCGATTTGATGTCAGCACAGAGAGAGCGAGAAAAAGAGAGAATATTTCTGCTGTTCATGAAAGCAACTATGGAAATGGCTGTCAAAATGTAGAGCAGCAGGCAGCAACATACAATTATCAAGAAAAACTACCATGCTGACTTCATGTTGTATAGTTGCTGAACTGAGAAATCAGTTAACCTTTTCTCGCACAACTTTCAAGTCCTCCAGCTGGACTCAGTATGTTGAATGAGGCGGAGCCTCTCCAGTTATCTTACAGAAACAGAGAATGATAAGAAATTTTCCCTAACATTTACAGTTATGCCCGCTTTTTTTTTTTTCCTTCATAATTTATTTGTAGATAGTGAGGTTCTCCTTACATGGTTCTGCTTTCTTAAAAAAATCCCCAAACAAATCAGCATGCTGTGGAGGAATGCACTCAGAATATCTTTCTTCAAAGTCCTGGGTTCTGATTTCAGGTCTGCTGCTCTTTTGGAGGGGATCAGGGACAGTGAGGAAACTACCATTCTGACTCAATTTCACCACCTGTGAAATGGAGATAATATTCATCTTGCACACATTTTAAACATTCAAACACAAAAACTGCACTACATGTGATAAACATTTTTAATTACAAGTGCTAATACTTAAAATAAATAATTATACTATTTTCAGCTATGGTAAGCAATAAAATTTCCCAAACCAAATTAAAGTTCTAAACAATAATCTTCATATTAGGTTACAAAACTAAACTTCAACAACTACAGAACTTTTCCTACTCAATTTTTTGCAGTTTTTTCTGTACAATATTTACTGTAGATTTTATAGTCTATCCAAATATGAAAAAATGTATAGAGAATATACTATCTGGAAATGAAAAATAAAATTACTTCTATCATATTTCCTTAGACCATAACCTGGTTACATAGTGAAAGTGGGAAACAGTTTTCTCTCCAACATCTGTGTTCCAAATTCTTTCTGAATCCAGCTGAACCACAGCAGAAGTCTCAGTTTGGAGAAGCTATAATAGAAGCACTGGGACAAGAGAAAATACACAAATCTCCCATTGTAATGGTTCTAAGGTTGGGGGATAAACACAATATTGAGCCTTAACAGAGGAGACTAATATAGCACAGTTTTTAAGAGGCTATGTGTAAGTGGTAGAGGATGAAACTGATGGTTGAAGTCTAAATAATACTACGTACCTCACAACTTGTTGAAAAGCACTTTTTTTCATTGGGGGAGATTCACAGCTGCTGAATTTTCTGCAGTTAATAGAGTCCTTTGATTCACAGCAGTGCCCCTTGCACAAAAAATACTGGCCTTTGTGTATTACCAGAAACTAATTTTCTATTTGGCTGAAAAGGGAAAAATGGGGTTATTGCTTCTCCCTCCTACAGAGCTTTTCATTATGCCTGATGCACTCAACTTCTAAGCTCTTCTGAGAAAAAAAAATAACTGAAGAGGCAAGAGGTAGAAAAATGAGCTTGTTAGCACATTAGAAGTGAAGTATCTTGGTGGGCCCTAGAAATTCCCAGTGGTGTGTTAACTTATCACTCTATGCATGCTGGCACTGATAGTCTCCCAATTGATCACTCTCTTTTCGCACCAAAGGTGCTGCCAGGAAGCAAAGGCTGAAGGCCCACAGGAGAACAGGCTGCTATCAAAACAAGCTGTTTTTAAAAGTCTGCTTGAATGGGTAAAATGTTTCATGAAAAAGTAGGGTAGAGACACCTACCTGCTTTTAAAATGGTCTACTTTCAGAGGTCTCTAAAGGAAACCTTTTAGTTTATCCTATTATATCCAAAGCTTATACACAAATAAGGTAAAATGAAGGAAAGTTACTGCTTTGAATGTGACAAGGACATTCTCATTCTCCAGTCTTGGTACCTATCTCCTAACCAAATAAAGAAGTCTCAACATAGATGCTGACTGAGGATAATGATGTTTTTGTTACACAGTGAAGAGGATACGCTTTTATCAGTTCTAGAAGTCTAATTCAAATGCATACTTAGAGAAAACTAATCCAGCTATTGGATGCTGCTCATCATAACATTTCACAAAACCATCTGCAGCTTGTTAAAAACATAACTCTGCTTAAAACCAAAACAAAAATCTGAGGCAAAAGCCAAGTCTAAAGCTTGCTCTATTCTGCAATAAGAAATCACGCACTCTCCTCCGAAGACTCTTTTTCTGTGTTAGTGACTGCATAGATGAGATTGGGATACTTTTATCTTCTAGTCACTTATATTGAGAACATTCTACTATTTTAAACCTCCAGTTTTACATGCTTTTTTGGCTGAAATAATCTGGTTCTGTGCTGCATTTGAATGCAACTGTCTGCAAGAGTGACCATAAACCCACGGTAGTTAAAGTCTACATTACTTCTAACAGGCTAGACATTTATTTCTTTAAAACACTGCTCTCTAGGAAAGACTTATTAGCACTTACAGATTGAGTGGCACACACAAACTCAATGGCAAGTAATAATACGGCAATGCAAGCTGTATTCTTACTTCAAGTGGATGTTGCCATTGGCATCAGTAATTAAGATGGAATGGGAATGATGCACAGACAAACCAACGGAGAAAGACTGGCACAGAGAGTGACAAAACACCTAAACAACAGTGTTGTGAGCTTTTTGCTTCTGAAGAAGGTGCCACCTGGAAAAAAAGAGAATGCATAGGAAAGATATACATTAATTATATAGGTGCTTGCCCAAATCTGTCAGCTAAAAACTTGCAGATGCATAATCTCCAAAAAACATAACAAAGAAATATAATTACTTCATTATACTTTTTCAGAAGAAACTGTTCTGAAAAACAGAATCAGTAGCCAGAAAAAATCAGGAATCAGATCTCTATAGGTCACTCAGGTTGTAGTCACTCCAGCTAAAATTCCATTTGCATTACAATCCATTTTACTTATTCTCTAAGTCTGCAATTATTTCTATTAATAATTATCTTAAAAGATTTAGTATCTGAAAATACTGCACTTTCCATTATTAGACCTCTTGATTTGTACTTGGGAACAAGCACTGCAAGCCTAGCTGTCAGATCACCTACTTACGCTTAATCTGTCTGAAAAACAACAACTCATGTCTTCACTTAATAGCTCCCCATCTCTGCTGATTGTATCACTTCTAAGCTTTAGATTCCTACGGCAGAACACATGTACAGCTTGCAGAGTCTTTATGCATAATCTAAGCTATAACTTTTTCTAGCCATCTACCTGAATAAATATCTAGGCTCTTACCTCACATCTCAGATACTGCCATATCCTTTTCTCTGCCTTCAATAAATGCATTTTTAATCCTTCTTATATCTACTCGGAGCATTGCAGAGTCCACTTTCTGAACATACTACTTAGATGGTGCATTCTCTTCAGATATCATCACCAGTCCCTACCACAAATGCAGGCTACTTACTTGAACTTTATCGTCCATACCTATTTCATAATTTTACCAAAACTGCTCACTTCTAGTTAATGCAGTCACTCTCACTCATCTTGACATTTTTGGACAGGCACTTTTGTACTTTCTTCTATGTGGCTTCTTATGCCTAGCACCAGGTATCCATAAGTGTTCACAAAACAATTCCTGCCTCAAATTCTCTCCTTGGCTATGACGTTTATCGAAAAAGAAACAAGGAGAACACCTTGGAAAACTTAAGAGTCCATTCTGTGTAGCTTACAAAACTATTTGTGCTGTCTACTACTGTTTCGCATTTTCCCGAATTTGGTATTTGCCTTCATTTGTTGTCTTCAGTTTTATACTTGGCTTTTTTACTTCTGAGTGACAAACATCTGTCTTGTGCTGTACTCCACTTCAGTATATTGAGACTGGGGTCTATGCTATGAATATGTATGTGCCACAATAATACAAGCAAAACAGCTCTCCTCCTTGCATCTTCATCCACCATCTTAATCCCTTTCCTTTATGTACAAAACAATCACCTCACATTGCCAATTTTTTTTTTATTCCATGGCTTTGTTATCCTTCAGTTTGATACAGAAATCTGTTTGCTTCATTTTCCCAAATCTCTATTTGTTTAGTTTGTATTTTTTCTTTCCTATAATTTTAACCTTGCTATCTCTACAAATTCCCATACTTCCCATTGTTCAGCCTCTTCTTCTGTCTCCATAGTTCAAGATGCTCACTTGAACTCATCTCCTCATAGTCATGATTCTTTCCATTCTTCTTCACACCTTTCAGTTTTAGAGCTGATCTAAAACTATCTAGTATTTTGCAGTTAGAGTGGATGCATGATTATTGTTACAGTCATCCAGTTAATACCAATCCTAAAATGCAAG